AAATTACTTAATTTAAAAAAAAATATATAAAAGAGATTTTCTTAATTAGATTTTCTTGGCCTTTTATGAGAATGAACAATTGATGCAATAATGTAGATAGAAACCACTTTTTGAAAAACGTGTCAGTATTAGTACCTCATGGGTGACGTAGAAATCTATTGAAATATTTCCACTTAATAAATTTAAAAATAAAAATTTATTTTTAATAAATTTTAATAAATTTTTTTAAATTTTAATAAATAGGGAGAAGAACCTACTCACAGAACCTAATCAGATAGTGCCGTTCCTAACGCTCGGCGGCGCTGGCCCTAGCGGCTGCGGCGCGCGCGGTAAGGAGAGGAAAGGAGGCGTATATCACGGAAATCGGCTGAAATGTTTAGACTAATTCCGAGCACTGACGTAGATCAAGACCATAAGGATGTCTTCCTCTCGCCGGAGGTAGAATAAACAGGGATCACAAGCGGATTGAGTAAGTCCGAAGCTTTTAAGAACTTCACTCAGCTTTACATGCCAGCGCCGCCCTGCCTGGCGTAAGCCATAGAGCGACTTCTTTAGAAGGAGCACTTTCTCTCCACAATCTAATTTCTCTAGCATCTTTGTGGATGACTTGTGAATCTTGCTTCCTTTCTTTTCTCGATCGACGATTCTCTCTAAGATATCTTCGAAATTGTCCGGACATTCCATAAGAATCTCTTCCTCGAGTTCGCCGTTTAAGTACGCTGACGTAATGTCAAAATAACTTAAGAACAACTCATGTTGAACGGCTAGTGCGGCTATCATGCGAATAGAGCTCATGCGGGCTACGGGCGCAAATGTATCGCCAAAATCGATGCCAGGACGCTGCGAGTAGCCTTTTGCGACAAGTCGAGCCTTTCTTCGTTCCAGGGTTCCATCGCTATTAAACTTGTTTCGGAGTACGAAACGACTCCTGATGACTTTGCGATCTTTGGGACGATCGATGATTATCCATGTATCGTTCGCGATGATTGACTTCAGCTCCGATTCCATGGCCGCGAGCCATTCGTCCGCCTCTGGGCTTCGCAGTGCTTCTTTGACTGGAATCTCGGCTAGATACGCAACTTCCGCGTCCCCGTCGCCGAAAAACAATTCGTTGTATTGCTTCTTGGGCCTTCCCCTGGATCCGGTTCTTATTATACGTGGCCTTCCTCGGCCTCTCCTTGGCAAGTTCGCATTGTTTTCGTCGACGCCTTCTTGGACTAAGGAATCCTCTTCGTTGTCGAGTTCTATTTCCTCCTCGCAAGTCTTTAGAGGGATTTCGACTTCGCCGCCTTCCGAGTTTTCCGTGTGCTCCTCGTCGTTTGTGCTGAAGTCCTCAAAGTCGTTGCTAATTTGATCCTCGTCGTTTTCCAAGAATTTCGCGTCACGGGTTACATCGATTCGTCGTTCTTCCGGAATCCACACTCGATACGCCTTGGACTCTTCAGAGTATCCGACGAAGATTCCTTTGTTCGATCGATTATCAAGTTTACCTTTATTTGGATTTCTAACTAAAGTGTAAACTTTGCATCCGAATTCTCGGAGATGGCGCAGATCTGGTGTCTTGCCCGTCCATTTCTCGAAGGATGTTTTTCCGTCTAGACTATTTGAAGGACATCTATTTCTAATGTAGTTGGCGGTGTTTACAGCCTCTCCCCAGAACGATGGTGGCAACCCGGACTGGATCAGCAAACATCTTGCCATCTCTATGAGTGTGCGATTCCGTCTTTCCGCTACGCCATTTTGCTCAGGGGTGTGAGTCACAGTCAGCCGTCTGCCTATGCCGTATTCCGCTAGGAATTGATCGAATGCCTTACTTCGATACTCCTTCCCGTTGTCAGACTGAAGGTATTTGATGCTTCTTCCGGTTTGCTTCTCGACGAAGGCCTTGTAATCCTTGAATGCATTCAAAACTTTGTCTTTTCCTTTCAGCAATTTGATCTTGCACCATTTCGAGTGGTCGTCTATAAAGGTAAGTATGTACCTCGCTTTTCCATTTGATTCAATGCGCATCGGCCCGCATACATCGGAATGTACGATTTCTAGGAGTTCCGTTTTTCTATCGGACGCTGTCGGAAACGAGGCTTGCGTCATTTTTCCTCGAATACAAATCTCACAATCAAATTTGTTCTTTGACGTACCTAAGTTGATGCCTTGTACGCTTCCGTTACGAACGCCCTCCGCGAGATCGCGCGTGTTAAGATGTCCCATTCTCCGGTGCCATGATTCAAATAAATCGCGCGTCTTTTTATTTTTGATCGTCGCATTACATTCTAGCTTCGCTTCGCGTAGGTAATAAAGATCATTGATGCGATCGGCAACGAGTGTGATGTTTCCGTTTCTGTCGATCACTTTGCCGTATTTACTATCAAAAATTACTGTATAGCCTTTATCTGCAATTTTTACTTACTGAGAGAAGGTTGGTTCTCAAATCCGGTACGTATAATGTATCGCGTACACTTACTCTTTTAAGTTTACCGTTAACCTCCGCCGCGATTGAGATCTCGCCTCTCGCTTTTATCT